TCTTTATGACTAAAAACTGTGATGCCATCAGAAAAGAAACACAGAAAAGCCATGATACACTTACCGAATTATGAGCAATTCAACCCACACTCTCACAAAAGCAGGTAATGGGCCAAAGGCCTCCAGGATATAAGTGTAGTGACCACCGGATTTCTTAATGCATGTTCCTAGTTCAGCATAGCAGAGGGCACCTGTGAGAATTAAAATGTGGCATCATGAGAGATATCCAGAAATAGCTTCCAAAACATTTATAAGCTGAACAATGGAGCTGTTGTAATATCACAACTACTTTTGATATATCTTATTCCTTTGTTTTCAAACAATTTTATAAGTTCTAATTAATCCAGATAGATTTGCACTTATCCAGACTGTACATATATCCAGTTACATTTACATGTAAAGCCACTGAACAAACTATTTGCTATCAACACGTTCCATTACTCATCTGTACTTCATGAAGAGGGACAACAAAATGCTGTGTCACACCAGCTTCCCCGGATCCCCAGCCAGCCTGACTGCACCACTAAGTGAAAGCCTTCTGACACATTTGCTTGTTATCAAGCGATGATCAGCTCTTTTCAGCCTTAGAGATGTCTGGCTCAGCCTCTGAAGAAAAGCCTGAAAACTGTATTACCTCTCTTCAGCCACAAGCGAAGCAATCAACTGGCTGAAATTTGGAAGAAGGAATTGCAGATTAAGAATTTTCCTCAGTAGTACTCCCAATATATTATATACAAAATTGGGGGGGTGGCTTAGCCCTGGACTTTCAACACTAGTGCAGCGCTGTTGTATACTACCAATGAAATGAAAGCTCAGTCCATTTCTGCATTGCCTTAAATACAAACCACTTCACGTTTTCATAGGAGGCCTATTTCATCCTTTGGTGTGTTTACACTGACAAACGTAAAACCCAAATCATCACCACGTTGCTGCAGTAGTCCACGCAGAAGTGGTTCGGGCCCCTTCCAAGCAAGCGCTGGTGGCATTCCCAGCAAGTAGCGGCTCTCTGAGAGCTCCCCAAGGCTGCTGCCAGCACAACGCGTGGCCTCTGCCATTACAGAGCAGGCAGCAGCACGCTACAACTACGAGGACCTGCACGGAGCCTTCCTCACCCCCGCACTGCCTGATACTGTTGCTTAATGAGCCTTCACCCAGTCAACAAAACCAGTGGATTCTCAGCTCCATGGGTGGACCCCATCAACAGAGAAGTGCACCGCGTCCCATAAGTGTAGACAGCCCTTTTAGAAGGGTCTGAGAAGGCAAATGAAAACAGTAATAAAGTTTGTAAACACCGCATCACACAGAGTTGAGATCAGCAACATATCTGAACTCATTTCGGCTCTGTTCCCCGCACGCTTTTATGATGCGGCACTTTAAGATGAAAACTACAGTTGTCAAAACTGCGTAACACGTACAAGCCGATTAAAGCTGCACCACATTATGACAAATTCCATCCTGGTTCATTTGTTTTGTTTGGGGCTTTGCAAAAATGGGGCAGTTTTTATCGGCTATTCTTCAGCTTACCTGAAAATGTACTTAAAGGAATTCTCACAGCCACATAAAAAAATAAAAAAGCAGCTATTGATGGGTTTTCTCCTGACAGCCCCTTCCGTTGAGGTTCAGGATGAAATGAAATTGTGTTTTGATACACGTTATACACACAGTTCCAGCAAGACCTTACGTGATCTTTGCATGTGATTTTACTATAATTAAGTCATACAGGGAATTAAAACCACCCATGGAATGAAAGATATGAAAAAATAACTATAACAGGTCCATTCAGAGAAAGAGATAGTATCTTTTGCTGGGCCAAATTACACAGTTCTTCTTATCTTGAGATCTAGAAAATGACCTAGAAAGTCTATTTGATAAAATAGATAATTTTCTGGTTGTGAAGTAAAGTGTGTACAAAAAAAATTACTACTGTTAAAGCCAAAAATGCAATGCTTAAGCAAATTCTGTTTTGACTAAATCTTAAGACCCAGGTTTTCCGACAGGGTTACGAATTGTAGCTGAGGTCTTTCTTCACAGGGGAATTTTGGATACAGGCAGAACTTCCACATTTGTACAACAGATTATGCTGTATATCATACCAATACATTTAACATTTGACCAAAATGGGTCCTAACTTCCTCACACTGCCTGTTTGGCTTGGGTGGGCTTAGCCCGTAACAGTCTGTGTTTCTTTTAAGCTCAGAGCCAATTTACACAGGGTGGCATTTGCATGTTCCACCTATTAAGCAGACACGTGTTAGTCCATGTTTGTCCTCTTTACCTCCTGCCAGAAAACAAGTTGTTTCTGTTTTAAATAAAGCCAATATTCATGTTAGTTCTTCAGCTTTTTTGAGATTAACTCATTAAGCAGGTCAATGGACCCTCTGTCCCACAGAGGCCAGGGTGGGGTTTTCCACTTTGAATGGGGGTTTTGTGTAAGGAACAAATAATCTGGCATTCTTCAGAATTTAACACTCTTCAAAAATACACAAAATCAGTAAAAACTGTCACAATAGGCAGTTGCTCGGACCTTGCTCTCACCTCTGGGGAACTAAGTCGAGCTGTCTAAACAGTTCACCAGTGTTTGAGTGGAGTGACCCGCATCCCCAGCTGCCGGGGGCCTTACAAGCAAACCATAAACTACCTCTTACAACCAGAAGAAAAATATTGTACGTACAGCACATTGTATAGTATAAATGGACATTAACTTTTCCTGTTCCTTTAGGGACTCATAAGAAACAATAATTTATGCTTTCAGTCCTTACCAACCAGGTGCCAGAGGGACAGGGGTTGCATACCTCTGCGTCCTCCACGCAACCTATCAGGCAGCAAAAACCTTCTGTAGCCCTATTGGTCCTCAAACTCCACACTGTGCCTTGCTATCCAATGGCAAAATCAGATAAATAATAGCAATAAATCCACCGGCCGCCCCTCTGGACCAATTAGAAACTTTTAAGGGACTTACCGAAGAGCGAGAGGATACCACACACTGTCCAGACAGTCAAGGACATGCCCACGCTGCCTGTGTTCTTCAGGATGCCTTTGGGAGAGATGAAGATGCCAGCTCCAATGATAGTGCCAATTATGATGGATATCCCCCTCAAAAGTGTCACTTTCTTCTTCAGCACAACTTTTCCCTCCTGGGCTGGCTGTCCGCTGTCCATAGAGGGCAACCTACCATTAGCTTGCCCCTGCAAGTAGCTTCCATTAGAGACTGTGGTTACAGCAGCTTTCCTAAACATGCTACAGTGCCACCAGTGCACAGACGGCAAGCACAGGCAAAAAAGTTTGCAGCAGAAACTCAAGGGTTTTTTCCCCTCTCTCTGTAGCCAACTACTTAAGTCGCTTTCTCTGCCCTCTCTTATCTTTCCAGCTGCTCCTACACACAGGTAGCAAGCTCCTAAAGTGTATTTGAGCCTTTACTGCGAAGCGAGCAGTGCTCAGGAACACCTGCACTTTCACACTGCGAGCTGGTACTGCCCTATCATTGGAAACCAGCTCAGCTTCCGCGTGGACTTGTATTTAAGCTCTTGTCATACCAAGTTACTCCAGCTGAATGATGATGCAAATTCTCCAGGTTTGCATCAGCCATTTGAGAAACCTCTGGCATTACTCAGCATTTATCTTTTTTTTTTTTTTTTCTTCTTCTTTTTAAACAGTAGGGGCATGTTGCACAACCGACCTGAGAGTGGTGGGAAGAACAAAGCACTCACAAGCAAACCGAGCCAATCAAGCTAAGCACATCACCCGAGACACCCGGAGACACACTCCCAAATTTTTGTAAAGCGACTCAGCCAGAAACAAAAGCCTGCCTAACACAAAGCTTGTCAGAGTGCAAGGCGAAAAGAAATCAAACAGGACACGTCATCCCTGGGTCTAATCCAAATTCTTTCTCAAAAAACTCCTCTTAACGAAAGTTAAGTTTGCGGGGCTTAACTTCTTGTATCACAGTTGATCAGCCTCTCTATGTTACTTACCTGGAAATCTCTATAGGGACCTGTACCTACCTAAATAATGCATACAAACCCCTTGTTACCTCGAGTTGCCTAGCAACACACCCAAATCAGCCTAATGAAAACCCAGGGTTATTTCCACAGTGCAGTAATTTTCATACAGGCAGTGTGTTTCTGGGATGTCAGCAAGCAACACCGCGACAGCAATTCCCCTTAAGAAATACTATTAATGTTTACAGTCACCCCGTGTGTGCGATCTGGCAGGAGGAGGACAACAGCCCAGAGCGCAGGATCTCCGGCAGCTCCAGAATCAGTGAGGGGGTTTTGTGTTATCGTAGCGCTACCTTGACCAGATAAACAGGTAATCAGATGCATAAATACTTTTGCTTCACGACCTGATCATTCAAATTCAAGCCTGAGAAATTAAACTGTTAAAAAGAGAAGCATTCTCATAAAACAGAGCAAAAATCAATAGCCTTCAAGCACTTGTAATCTAATCGAGGGACAGCCTGTGCAATATATGCCAAAGGGGAAAAATCCTTCGTAGCATAACTATTGCAGCTGCTCCTGGCTTCAGATTAGATCAGTGCACAGAGAAATGATTACTGCAGTTACTGCTCTTACAGTTACTGCTTAATTAGGACCTAGGATTGAGGGGGAAAAAAGGATGGCAGTTAAAACATTTTATCATTTGAAAAGCAGGCACTGTGCTCAGAGCACTACCGTGCTTTCAAATTTATGTGAGAAAGAGGAGATCCTGGAGTATCAACACACCGCAGCTATAAAACTTCAGCGTTTTCAAAGCCGCAGCTTTTCAGTTATAACTCACCTATAATAATTTGTACTGAGATAAAAGAAGCCATTAAAAAGGCTTATCTGGTTTAAACGCACACAGGTAAAAACCAAAGGGAGCATAGCTCTTGACTCCACGCTGGCAGTGCTCGCCTGTTTTGTGCACGCACCCCTACTTCTCCCTCCGCCTGCCGCTGTGCGCAGGGGCTGACCCCTCGCTTCCCCACCACCGCTGCACCCAGCGCCCGACCCCCCGGGGAGCCGACCCTCCCTGCGGCTCGCGCCGTGCCGTGGGTGCCCGCGCCGGGCAGGACCTCTGCCCATCCCCGCGCCCTCCAAGCCAAGCCGATCTGCACGGCACCAGCTACACGCAAAGCCACGAGCAGGAGGTGCGCCACGCAGAATTGTTCTCCCCTGAGGTACATTTCACCGGGTGCCAACACCCCCCCGGTAAGATTATAAATGCCTGAAGTAAGTAACTAGAGCAAACCAAACCAGGAAAATGCAGTAACCGCAGAACTGGGTTGGGCTGATGACCTTTATTTTCATTTTCAAAGGCAGTCTAATGAGGAAACACATGACATCTGTAAACATCTAATACTTTAAGGTAATCATTCTTAACTAATGCTTACCCTTCATCTACACAGGAAGATGGTTCCAAGATCAAACCAAAAGCTCAATAACCTCCCAGACGATCCCGAGACAGCTCCCAGCAATCCAGCTGTCTGCATCAGCTATTCAGTAAAAACACTGGACAGTATAATGGCTTTCAAATTTCACTTGACCACTAGCCAGAAGAATGCATGTTTGCCCGTTGGACATAGCTATTAGCATTCCCCCCCATGCAGGGAAAAGGGTGCTTGCTTCTTCTGCGGTATAGGGGTAACACGCATGCAAAACTTAGGACCATGTGAAATCCTCAGTAAAATTTCTAATGTGGGAACTGAGGAAGGCTGGATGCAGAAAACTCTTTCTCCTAACTACTGGCAGCTTCCTAGCGATCACGCTATTTGGAGCCTTCCCAATGAGTACTGTTGTGCATGCTGTTTCTCAATGCTATCCCCTACAAATAAACAAAAAGATAGGAACACTTTTTCTCCTTTGAGTTCAAGCCTTACTTCCAATTACAACTTCCATCCAGGATAGGGTATACTTATTTGATGTTGGGGGATTATTTGTTATATTCTGGAAATTCCATGAGAATTTTTCATCACCTGAGCCCAGTCCCAAGGAGGGCACGAAGCTGGAAAAGGCCCATTTGCTGCCTTCTGCCCACCGTTACACACTACACTCACAAAATCTGTTCCAATTATTTGTGGCCCACCAGCCACTTTCATTTGAATTATTCATCACAGAGCAATGACCATGGTATCACTATGCAACCAAAACACACAATGCTCAGTGTCTTTTCAGAGAGCTTTTCTGAAAGCACAGGGCTTAACCTGTCCAACACTCAGAACAGCCCCGTTCTTCCATAAAAATCCACTCTGAAAACAGAACAAAAAGGTATGAGGTACAATTTTCCTTAGACCGATGAAATTATTTGAAGCAATGTTTCTAAAAACGACGGTCTGAAAATAAACTTTCAACTTCTAATGGCAGCTGGCATTGTGCACAGCCTTTTATTGTTCTTCTCTGGTGTTTGTTTGTTTGTTTGTTTTTTTCCAATGCATAGATATCTTCTCCTGAACAAACATTTTAAGGCATAACTAAGATCATCACTGTGAAATGGTTTCCTTTTAAATCTCACCATCAGCCCTGAACTACCCATCCACTGTCTGATTGAAACAGAAATCCTTGCCAGCCAAGCCCGTGAGTCCTCCTACTCCTACACCCTGCGAAGAGCTGAACCACTGGCCTAAGGAGTCACCCCCCCCGTGCCGGTCGCCTGCTGCCATCGGTGGGCTCCGGTGACCAGGACCGGCTGCGCTGCCGGCACCTTTCACCGTGTGTATAACACAACCTTTCTGTCAGCTGCACCGCACTCCTCCAGCAAATGAAATACTCAAGCATCAGAGAGAATAATGATACTACAGTGTTTCACAGGCTGGACGTGCCCGATATGGCAACACCCCCCATTTTTCACACTAGTAGAGCTTGTGCCAAATACCTACTTGGACACTGCTCTATCACCAATTCCAGAGAAGCTACAATTTTAATATTTCCCATGGGGAATGCTATGAAACACCCCCCCACACAGAGCGTTCCCCTTTATGGAAACACTACAACACACACCCGGGGCAAATCGCAGGACCTAAAATTCAAGCCTGGACTTGAGTTTCCATTTCTCAAGCCCACAAAACCTCCTTAATTTCTAGGTGTAGCAAGCATACCTTGACAATCCTTCCGGGCATTTGTATATCAGCTTATTGCAACAAGCAAATCCAAAGAGTCACAAGCCAAGCCTCCAGGCCACACATTGCCACACTGACTGGAGACACGGGAATAAAAAAGGAAGTGTATCAAGACTGAAGAGGCGAGGAAAGCCCCAAACTCTTTTGTGTGGGTGGCATGGCATGAAAAAGTTGTTTAGAAAACTGAGCTGAGTCCTGTCTGTATAATGCCAAGCTGTTTGTGAGCCTCGGAAAGCAGCCCTTGTAGGAAGGCAGTAGTCTGGTTTCAAATGTCAAAGGAGGGCAAAATACCTAAAAGTATTTGTTTCATGTAGATAATCTAGCATTGAGAAGTTTTGACTGGGGATTTTCTGCTCCTTCTGTAGTGTTGAAAAATAGTTTAACATTAGGGGAAAAAAAATAATCTGTAAGCAATTTAAGAATTAAAGTGCCATTGGGAATTAAGTGAGAATAGTATCATCATAGTATACAAAAATCTCAGTAGATTGTAACAGGTTTTTAAGTTATAATGCAAACCTAGAACTGTGAGAGGACTAAAATAATTTGTTATTGTCTCTACCACAGGTCAAAACTTTAGTTAAAATGGGATTACTGATAATGTTGGGGGGAGTGTATTTTGTAGTCAGACACTCACAAATTACTTGCTTAATTATTTTGCATTCCACTTTGTGCCAGATACAAAGAAGATATTTAGAAGAAAAACAAAAAAATGAGAAGTAATGAAATACACATCCAGCTCAGAGGCTTTAAAAGTGAGACAAAATCCTATAAGAAATCCAAAAGCAATTCAAATGTTATTTCTTGTATTTTCAGTAAAAAGCCTCCAACAAAATGCCTATGCAGTCAGCAAATAGAAATCTGGTTCCAAGAAGGCTGCAGACAACGATAGCAGTTTAGAAGACAAATACTTCTGAAAGTTTTGCTGTCTCCAATTTGCTGATAGCTGCCAGTCAATTTTCAGCTGGAACAGAAAAAAAAAAAAAAGGCATTTCAGAAATCCCTCCTATTTTTCTCACTATTAAAGATTTTTTCAAAAGACATGATGATTTTGGCTGAATGGTTTCACATTTTAATGCCCTTTGTTTTTTGTTTTTTTTTTTTTTTGTAAGCAGACAAGAATCATTAGCGCCTGGTACCAAGCAAGAAAGCTCCACATAAGAGAAAGCCAATTCTTACTGGAGTCCTGTGTATGTGAAAACATGATTGTGTTTTATACCATCTCATTTTTCATAGTCAGAATATATACAATTATAACCTAAGAAATGCTGTACATAAATAGTATTATTGAGTTTTCTGTGTTTGAATTTCTCATCAGCAGAATGAGTCCATTTTCAGTCATTATGCTATTGTTCTTCAGCGTTTGGATGCAAATATTGAGATACCCCACAGCTTTCAAGAAATCAAGACCGCAGGGTAAATTTCAGTCAAAACTGCATGTGCCAGATACCTGGCACAACGGCAGGATTGCTCTTGGCTTCAGGGAGTCAGGATTTTACTTGAGCTGTCTCAGGCTAGGCTGGGCATGTGAACAGAATTAATCAGCACTTCTGAAAAAAAATCAGGATTTCTTCAAAAATCAAGATAGAGAATTAACACTGAGAACTTTTTCTTTCCCAGCTCCTTTCTCCATTTGCCCGATGAGAATTCTTCACACTAGATAAAAAGCTTGTAATGTGAAGAAATCATACAACAGCTGCCTAGATTATAAAATTAAGACTTGGCTATTTAATTACTCACTTTTAATTGCATATTTTTGTACAATTTATACAGTATTATGTATACAAGAAACAGAATCCTGGGCATTTGCCTCACTCCTCTATTTGTCCAGGTGCTGCATTTCATGTGAGTCGTGTTTTTCCACTATCAGTTAAATCTTTCTTCTTTTAAAAAGGGTTAATGATACTTACCCTAATTCACTTATGTGACAAATTCAGCCACTGAATTCTGTTACCAAAATAATCTATCTAAAATCTTGGGAAGGGAATTTCAAAACTTAAGCAAAGTCTTAATTTACTGACCATTCTATGGGGAAACCTTTCAGATCACTTGTCTTAATCTGAACTCTAGTTCCTTATTCTCATCCTTAACAGAAGGTCACCTTTCTTTCCTGCTAGGTTTAGCAAGCTCATTCCCCTCCTGTTGCACACACTTAGACTAAATGGAGCATACATTCAAAGTTATTTGATTTTTCTGAAAGAGAAAACTACACTCTTACCCAAGAATAATTGTAATGGGATTTTTAGTTCCCTTCTCATTTCTCTTCAATTGCCAGATGCAGCAATAGTTGCATCTATGTATTTCTCTTTTGGTTCATTTAATGTAGCTTTCTGTCTGGAGACCAAACAAGTCTTGGCTGCAGCCTCTTGCAGGTCATGAACGCAATAAGGTCAGGCTCCAGTCAATAAACTGCCAGGTGGTTAGAGCTTCTTTAGCATCAGCAGCAATGGCACAACACGTGCATTGAGAGATGGACAGAAGCATCTCAATTAAGGGTTGAAGCAGTGTCAGAGTTTACCACAAGAAGGGATTAGACTGCAGAAAAGCGAAAACACGTGTGTGCAGAAATGCTTCACTGGTGACTGGTGGTCAATCATTCACACTGTCATCATAATTTAGCATTGAAATGCAGCTTATGGATCCCACAGGGAATCATTTTATTGGCATCTAAATGCACATACTATGTCTTCTTGAAGTATTAAAAACTCTATCAGAAAGGGCACTCGTTTGGAAGACCGCCAAGGCGCTTCAGCAGTTTATACTAGTGTGGCTCCATATATTAATCCCACATTTCAATAGAGAGGAGCATCCTAGTGCTGAGGTCAGCCTCTGTTTCTTTGAAAGCAAAGTTCCTCTTTTCCACATTCACAATATATTCTTCAGAGACACTGTCTATTCAAGCATAGTAATTTTATCATGTTTTGTGACATTTAGTAAGAAGATTATGAAGCCAATGTACAGCAGACACATACACTGCGTGGGCATGATGAGAGTATCTTTGTCCTGTCTACTATACACTCTAAAATGTTGTTCAAAACAACTATCATGTCAGAAATCTGCCCTCTTCCCCCTCACCGCATTTGCTGGGAAGTACAGGTTATCCAGAGCCTCAGAAGTCAAGTCTCCAGGAAAACAAAAAGTAGTGACATGGATTTCTAAGTATATTTCAAATTCATGCTTCACATGGAAGCTTACAAACAGCCAACAGCTCAACCCCCTCTGCGTATAATCCACCAATTCTAGCCTTTTTCCATCCCTCTCACATTGAATATAGCCCAAAGATTAAGAGATAAAGCTCTTCTACCAAAAGCCACCACTTTTATCATAGGCTTTTTTACAACAAACCAGATGTTAACTACAGTGTTTTATTCTTCTTTGTTAGTATCTTGCTTGGACTTCAAGGAGGAGAGCTGAGAGGACTCTGTAAGAGCACTCTTTGAGAACTCCTGCCTTAAAATAGATTGATATAATCAGTGTTGCTCACACTTTTGCAGAGGGCCCAGGCCCCTCTCTGTAGGGAGGGTGGCACAGAGGGGTTCAATAGGATGAAAGATTTCCACTCCTCTCTCTCACACACACTGCTGAAATTTGGAGCCAATACATGGAGTAGAAAATGTATATAGTCAGCTCTCTATAGCAAAAGAAAATCCTGTCCACTGCATAACCTGTCACACACAGAAGGGACCTTCCCCTTAAGTATACGATCCTGAGTATATAGGTATCTCCATTACAGGGTACCCCATCAGCTTTATGAGTCAAAGTACAAATTGTACTGGAGTAAAAACAGTACATGAAGTTAACTATGGTCATTTTCAAGCAGCACAATACCTCCCTGTAAAAGGTACTCCTTCTGCATACAGAAAGCTCGAAGAGGGAGTACAGAGAGATGCTGCAGTGTAAATCATGTGAACACTTACCAGAGAATAGGTCAAAGTACCAAAGAAATTTAAGTCAAGGGAAATGACCTGCTCCTGTATCAGTTTCTGGTCAGGTTACACAACGCAGGCTTTTATTTTTTCTTAATTTAAACAAAAAATTTAAATAAATGTGTTTTTTGGACAGGCGTATATTCTAAGCAGAGAGCTAATACTAATCATCTGAGTATATTTTTTATTAATGATTAATTAACTTCAATTCCCTTTCAGAGAAACTGGGGGAAATTTCCCAGTTTGGTTTTCTGAAAAAAAAGACAGATTTATAGGCATCTCCTCAGACATGACAGTGAGTTTGGTACACGAGTGATATCTTGCCATTAGTTGTTGCTTCATTTTCATTTTTCATCTTTATTTCTCACCTTTTCTCCTACTTAAAGCGCACCCTCTATATGCTAAGATAAAGTCGGAGTCATTCAGAATTTTCTCTTATTTTTCCACAGATTTCTGTGCCCCTTTCCAGGGGGCAAGGAATGCCCAAGTCTCAGTGAAACTCCATGAATAATGTAGAATTCACTCTTTGATCCAGGTAACCTATCATTATCCCAGATAGCTCAGGTAAGCCTGCACCAAGCAGACCAGTTTAATGCAGAGGTTCTTATTGTCCTGCCTGCCCCTCAGGCTATGCCAGCCTTGCACAAGGGAGGACTTGACCAGCTAGATGAGCCAGCCTGCTATGTCCACACCAGTGCACAACCAAGCAGAAACCTCAAGGGAGGCAACAGCAGTTACCAGATTGCCTTTTGCCATTGGTGTCATTTCTTAAGCTAGCCTGGGGGCTGCCAGATCTGCTTCCCTCCACCGCAGAGTCAGTTCAACTCAGGGTACAAAGGCAGGAATTTCTCTTTTTCTTTAAACAACACAGCAAGAACGAGCAATATCATTAAAATAGGAACTACTTTATTACAGGTAATTTAGAAATAACTCAACTGATTCTCCCCTTCCACTGGTTCTCCTCTTCCAGATGGGAAAGTCTTCATTACTCCTTTACCATCAGGAAAGAACAGAAGAGGCACTAACAGTCAAAATACCAAAAAGTGCCAGAGTAGAGAGTTCTTTGATGGGCTCTCCTCTTTGTACGGACAGACCTGCTAATCTTCACAGAATGTAGGATATCACCATGAAGCACAGTGCAAAGGACTAAAAGGTCAAAGTAGTAAAGAATTTTACTGTATTGAATGCATTTCGCATTATATTTCTAATATTGCTTCTCCCGACGAAAGCTATTCTGAACACACTGGGCAACAAAATAGAAATTCAGCTTCCTGACAATTACTCTGTCAGAGAACTGGAAATGAGAAACAATGCTCTGAGCCGCTGCCCATCTTCCTAACTCTCCACTCATCTCCCCATGAAGGGTACAAAGTCCAGGTTTCCTAGAAAAGTTCCCTTTCCTCGACTTCTGCATGGCATGCGCATGCAGCCATTTTATTTGGGAACCTATGCACTGACACAGTAGAGCCACAGTGACAGATGAGTCGCTCCAAGGTCTGGGAGAGCTTTTTTCATACACGGTTTTAATTTTATCTTTTGAGCTTATCCTACCACAAGGTTATCTGTCCAGATATACAAAATCCACCTCTATAAGCTTCAGGATCTCCTAATAAGTGAATTCATCTCGTTCAATCTGAAAACGAAGTAAAGTTCTCACTCCAAATAGTCCAATGTATCATCTGCTTAGTCAGTACATTTTCTTTTGATTTAAACAAACAACACACATGCAATTTTCAATCACTTAGGTTAAAGACTGGAGCTAAAACTCCACCTCACATACACCAGGGGCAGAACTTCTTCCATCATCTCTTACACTGAATTGAACATAATAAACTCAAATGACATGAAATCACAATATGTCTTGTCAGAAAGAAAGATGGAACTCCTTGGGGTAAAAGACCCATACATTTTTATTTCCTCTTGCATGGCCTTGCATTTACTTCTTCTTCTCCCCTTCTCTTAATTACTGACTTGGGAGGGTGGAGAGCAGAGAGAAAGGTGGGGAGAAAATCCAGGAATTATGACAAACTCAGGTTTGAAAAAGTTGTTTTCTTCTCTATTTTGGCAGTAAAATTTTGCATTAGTCTTGCATTCCACAACTGTAGCTATCACTGTCTTAGTTTATAAGGGGAAATTGTCAAAGTATGCAAAAATAATTCCAAAGCTAAAAAGCAGGAATGCTTCAGCCTCTATATTCTGGATTTTCATATGTCTGTTGGCAGTTTCTGTAATTGAAGCAGCAGATTCAAAACTCAGCACCACAAAATATATAATGAGGTGCAACAGCACAAAAGTTTACTGGGTTAAAAGGAAACCTGCAACTATTTTGTTCAGCAAATAAAGCCTGAAACTAAAAAAAAAAAATTATTCTGGGAACAAAACCAAATATGCATCAGATTGTTTTTTCCTTTAAAATAAATGTCCAGGTGCTTAGCTATTACCCAGAGAGTGAACATTTCAGCACACCAGGGAGTATGCAAGCCTGAATGAGGGGACTTTTTGGCTCCTTTCTCTGCAATCAGTTGACAGGTTACTCTGTGTATGTATTTTAACAGAGCCTAGGGATTATGTGCCCTTGTCCTTCCTTGTTCAGATATGAAAAGAGCCAGCCATACCTGAGGCACTGCTGTAAGGACTGAAAGACAGAAACAGCAGCCAAAATCGTAGGTAGGCACCAGCACCACTCTGGCATGATCAGGGCAGAAGTAAAAAAAAAAAAATGCTACTCTATGTCAGTAATCACCTTGTAGGGTAGCCTATCAACTTCAGGTTCAGAATCTGCATCTGCATAAACACTGACCCATTAGCAGTATCTATCACATTGAGAAACGGACTCTTCTTTCCTCCAGACAGGGCAGATGTGCAGTTTAAGCCTCTCTTACCAAAATCTCCTTCCTGCATAGCTGCCAGCCAAACTAGTCAGATATGCACAATAACCTGATAACATAAACTGCAGTACATCATCTCTGGTATTTAAAATTAAGATGCTGCTTATAGTTATGCTCAGTACTTAACTTCACATGCATGGCTTTTCTGCTTCCGTACTCCTCTTCTGATTTGAAATTACAGAAATATATTTGTATTCAGGGCTCTTCAATATATTCTTTTCGGTTCTTTTTCTGTTCATCAGAGGATATTTTCATCTTCTAAAGTCTGACACCATCCTGAAGAGCAAAACATTATAAACAGATTACAAGCAGTGTGCATTCAAATAAATTACATGTTTAAACGTGTCAGTTAAATTATAATGCTCAATTAGACAGCTAATTATGTTGAAAATGCATTTGTGTGTATAAATTGATGGCCACTCCCCCAGCCTGCCTGGCTGCTTCCATTCATATATTGTCCTTTTATAAGTCTTATCTTTCAAATATCACCTGGTGGAAGGCTTATCTAGGTTCAGTCATACACTGCTTTACTGTTACTTCATTTTTTAAGAAAACATTTCAAATACAATTCAACATTTGCACTGAGTTTTACTACCTACCATCAGAATTTTAGTGGCAGTAAGATTTGTGGACCAGGTTTCCAGACTTCTTGGGGTCACATTCCCTCTGTTTATGATGTCTCACTTTCCAGGATGAATTTTAATCACTGTCACTGCATCATTTTACAAGCAAAAAATATATTTATTTTAAATTTATATGCACATGTGAATTTTACAGATGACCTTTTGAGTTAACAAAGCTGTGCATAAAACCATAACTGATACATATATACTTATAAAACACAGTATTGTACTCATTAATACTAGCTAGGACCTGGAAATCAAGTAGGAAGAAGAGTCTGTCAACATCAATTAATCAAAATTTAATTTAAGCATAATACCTTGGTATGATAAAATATATCCTCATATGTATCGATGAATCTCATCCCACAATCATCATGCAAAATACATCTTTTCAGATATATTCTCCATGTTTCACCCTTTCTTCAGTTTCTATAGTCTTATAGTGTTTTTTGGCAACCAATCTAACTGTAGCATTTATGTAAAGCAAAATCCAAGCTCTCATAGTCGATGAGATCTATGAAGAGCTAAATGACTTGTTTGGTGTTTCCAGACAGTTACATGTCTCATTCCTTACAATATGAAAGGAATCATCAGTAAAGTTCATCAGTATCATTGTGTTAAGAATTTAGGCAAAATAAAGACAGTATGATACAACCAAAGAAATAAAAATAAAATCCACTTGAGATCAACATACAGTAGCATTTCAGGCAGTCTGTTCTTTTCAGTTCTTAGGCTTAGATCATACATAAAAATTAATGATGGGGAAAAAAAAAAAAAAACAAGCTTGACCATTTGCTTTCTTTCCTAGCTTTCTGGTCTTTATTCTGATTTGTTAAATGGAAGAGTTTTATTCTAAGGTCTAAAACCATTGTCACAGCATATCTCCATACTGTCAGGTCATATGAGCCATAACTATTTGTGAAAGTGTTCTCAGTCAGCCCATGTTTCCTGATAATCCATTTTAGATACTTCCCGGTAAAGAAAAAACAACAGAAATAACCCCATGTCTATGGTTCTGGGCATATATGGTAGTAAAATCCAGCTCCTTGAGACACCTAAAATTAATCTGGGTAAGTACTGCAGATGACAATGTATGAACATACTCCAACTTTGACAAAGCAAGACACAGAATGATCTATTGTACTACATCTTTGGTTTTTTAAATTTATTACGTCTATGGTCATTCAAGAGGGAATGCCTTCATAATTATGCTCTGCTCTGTCCTTTCAGGACTTGTAGTATCTCCTCTGAAATACCTCAATAACTGAAACCAGGGAATCCCAAGGTATGTTTTGTATGGCACATGCTACAAATCATTAAATTCCACTTTGAAACTAAAAATTCTGAATCTCTCTTCAAAATTGACATTAAAATCCACACATCAATTCCTGACAAGTCATTTTGAACTACTAGATGTGGTACAACAGACTATTTGACATATATAGAACCAGGGCTAGCATTTATCATTTGGTCCTAGGTCTCTGAGCAGCGCCAGTCTGCCAGCCTACAGTCCAAGTGACACTGAGAGGAGCTAGAAACTGCTTAGAGATTTTTAAAGGTTCTTATGACTGTCACTAAACTCGCTGCTCCACAACAGATTGAAAAATGAGAGAGGTTTTCCAGCTGAAGTCACGTGTGTGTTAAAGAGGATTAACATGAACAGCCAACTAGCAAATGCCAGTTTCTTTCCTTCCATTTTTTTTAATCCTCCTTTCTTTCTATCCTGCAATAAAACCTTCTTTTTTTTATTATTTTTTTTTTTCCTCTCTTATTCTATATATTTTCCCCCTTTTGGAATAACACATAAAGGAAGCTGGAAGTCATTTAACAGATGCATCTAGCACAACAAAATTCTGTGCAACAGACTCTGAGGATGTAGACTGCACAGTAAATCTCACTCAAAGCAGAGTGTGTTAAATCACAGAACCACTGGAACAACTCAGGGTCACAACTGTTCATTTACACAATTCAGTTGTTGCATGCTTATCTCTGCATTCTCTCCTGTCCCCAGTGTGTATATCAACAAAATCTGTCCAGTCAGAAAAATACCTTTAGGTTAGCACCCAAAGCCATTGCTGACAGAAGTAAAATAGAAATGCTTTGGGTGAATCACATTAAAAGGCAGCCTTCAGAGTGACACCTCCACCAAGGCAGAACGCAGCACCGCTGCTTTTGGACATTCTGCAGCCTCGTCCCACCAGCTGGCCAGCTTTCACCCTCATCTACATCTCCAAAACATTAATGACATCACAGTTTGGCCCAGCTCTAGAATTACTATTCACACACAGTAGGCTGGCTGAGTATGGCAGGAAAACTGGAGAAATAAACATTGTAACTAACAGATCTCACCATTTTTCCAGGTTTGAATTGTTTAATCAATTAGTTGTACATTTCTTCATGTTGAAGCCGTTCCATGATAACCTGATGCGTTCCCTTGGTGCAACTAAAAGTTAGGGGAAAGGAAAAATACAAAGGGTTTTTTCTAGTGGAAAAAAGTAAGGCAAGAGGTCTGTGGTTAATACTGAGCCAGTATTATCCACCTTTCTCTTCTAGGAACTTTTCTTCCCACAGCAAAGAAGTCATCTCTGGTTACCTCATTAACTGTTGTATACCAGCTCAATGCCTCCACCACCACAGCAGTTCTTCCAGGCCTGGCAGTTTGGATTCCCCAACAAAGGCCACAAAGAGTTGACTATAGCTGCAGTTCCAAGATTTTTTGACATAAAAGCCGCATCTGAATTATCCCTATTTTAATGGCCAGAACACATCTCCACCCTGAATTTACATAAGCAATTTTTAGACATACTTCAACTCTGGAGAAAAAAAAAAAAAAAATGTTTATTTTTGCTTTAAATTTTTTCTTTTGTTTTTGGCCACTCATCTAATAAAAACAAAACCACACTGTCCTCTTTAAATTTCTTGCTTTCAGTTTAGAGGGAAGTTTTCTAGGATGCATTTTTCAAGAGCTTTAAGGAAATATATATTAAAAAAAAAAAAAAAAAACAACAAAAAAAAACCAGCAAATCTTGAACTTCACTAATTTCTACCATAGGATTTTTTTTTTTCCATTAACATTGTTGAATATCATTCACAAAGCAATTTGACATCTGTACTCACTTAAACTGTGAACATCTCAACATTTCCCTTTTAAATTCCTCAGGAAGCAGTGGTCAGATTTAAATGCCAAAGATGAGGAAGATAAATTTCTGAATGGGACCTCTGAGAGATAGATTACAGCACATTGTAACTATTATATTCAGTTTTCTCCAGGTGGAAAAAAAGTCAAAGGTAAAGGAGACCTCTGGGTCTCTTACACTGTTCATTTAGGTCAGAAACCTTTGTAGTGCTTAAATATTTCAAACTAATTCCCCCCAGAAAAACTTGGAACAAGTAGTATTCCACTTTTTTAAGTGAAACTCTCTCAAAGTACAAAGTTGGCTGAGCCAATCTGAGCTGTAGATAGTAGCACATTAGTATAGAGAGATACTGATCTCACTATACTTATAAACCAGCAGACTAATGCTTTAGTGTAATATATTTCTCTCATGCCCTTTTGCAAGAGAACTTGATTTGGGCCAACTCTGCTCTCAGATATGGCTCCAAAAATGGGGCAATTTGGATGTCAGAATAAAATAAGCAGGATTTTTTCCATCATAGTTGTTTCATTTCTTATAATTCATATGTTCTTCATTCAATTGCTTTACACCAGAGAGTCCATCTATGTTTCAGACCTTTCAATACCCTTCAAGAGAAACCTGTTTGCTGTGTTTAAGGCATTAACTATTTGAATGCTATTCAGTTCTCACACAGATCTTAAACACCTGCTTATTCGGGTAGAGTTTTCTAGATATAAAAAAACACCACTTCAGCAGATGATCAGCCATGAATTTTTTCAATATATATCCAATAACAAATTAAAAAAAAAGAAAAAGAAGAAAAAAGCATTAAGACAGATTTCATGGATGAAACTAAGTTTGGCAGATCCTCATTTTGAAGCAAATAACATTTGTACACTGAAATTGGTGGTAACTCTACTGTTACTTCCAGTATGTAGGTTACATGTGAAAAACAGAAAAAACAATTTAAAAGAAAGAAAAATGCAGCTTCGTGTTCTCTTGGGAGGAGACAAGGATGAAGGTCCATAAGCAACTTCTTGCATCTACTTGTTCAAAGAAATGTGCACCGGCTGCACAACAACCTCTGTCATGACCCATCGAGTAATCGTTTAACCTTATAAACCACCTCCACTGCAAACACAACTCTACCAGCTGGAAGTAGTAATCAGGAACACAGTATATTTATTTATCATACTACACAAGCTGCATGAAAGAAAAAGGGAAGCAATTGCTACATTTACTTTCTGCGCAGCAGTGCAGAAGGAAAAGAGTGGCTAAGTCCGTGTGATTTAACTACGCATATTCCAGAATCTCGTGCAATGAAATAATCACTGACTAATCTCAGCATGTAACTGCAGAGACGCTGATGGTACTGATCATTTTATTTTTACATGTCTATCAAGTAATTTGTCATGTTTTAAACAGAAAGCAGTCCGCCCTCCTTTGATGGTTGGGTTCAGTATACCCATTACTAATACATAATTTGCTCCTATTGCTTTTTTCGTAACTTTCATCATAATCTTGTTCTTGTGGCATCACTCTTTGCTGTGAAAATCATTACAGATTAGTGAGTTATAAACAGCAAAATTGGCTTCTTTTGGAGTACACATCAGATTTTCTAATGTAAAATTTTAGGAATTTTCTCAAAACTCTTCCTATGCAAGTAAAAAATAAGAAGGAATTTTTCACTCTGCTTTTAAAATGAGCAAAACAACTGATAGCTTCCAAATGACTGTGGATCATAGGAGGAACCTGGGACTTATGTTTTCACCACCTTCCACTTCCTCTTTCTTGTATTCACAGCTAATGTCTCAAGTCCCACTGCCTACCCAGTGACTCCCATACTTTAATCTGTTAAGTAGTCCCATATATTTCAGTACGATTTAGGCTGAAAACACTTTAAGGCAGGGATTGGGTCTTTAATTTACTAATGTCAACCAATCTACACAACAGCTAATTCCTCAGACCGCTCTATACATGGGCACACACAGGCATTTTCTCACCCTGGGTACTAATGCTGCTGTGGCTACTCGGGTGCCACTGTCCATCCACACCAGGTCACTAATGTGGCAGGCGTCTCTCCCAGCTGTAGTATAAACATATCAACAAGACTCGGTCAGTTCTCAAAACCTCGCTGGACCCAGTGGTATGGAAAATAAGGCCACATGGTACAGCATGCTTCCTTGTTCAGCTCTACCAATGGACCAGAACCAAAGACTTCCTCATAACATGGGGAGCGAAGCAAGATCATCACTGCTTCACTAAAATTGTTGCAATCATCTGTGTAAAGATGGGTGACTACTAAAGCCCATGTTAGCCTCTATCTCTCCCCCAATTACTGTTCTGCAAAAGTGCCTCTTTAGACTGCTGTAGTTCCTATACTTTTGAGAGGAATTCCTATTCTTTTGAGAGGACACTGTCTATACAACAAGGTTTGCCATTACAACTACACCTGTTGGCAGAGCAGGGGACAATAAATCACTTTGTCAACTAAAATAAAGATAGCAGAACACCCGGTATAGAAACAGATTCACTGACAGCTGAGTACTTTTGCAGGTTTAGGTTATGTCATGTGTCATTTTTTGTAGTATGCAAATACTCTGTGACTCTGCTAGGCAGCGTCTCCACCTTTGCCATTTCAGCATCGTGACATATGCTAACATATGTTGCCATAGCCGTTCTGGTGGTGGCAAGGTCAGCATGAATGCTCGGCAACTCTGACTTTTTTTTTTTTTCATTTGCATCTTTTCTATGAGGAATAGAAACCTTGCCTGGAGAAGGCGGGTTCATTACAATACCACTCTGTTTTTTCTTTCAGCTAAGGGTCAGAGGAAGACAGAGGTTTGACTGGGCTCATAAAGACACAGAACATGCAGACCATGCTGCAAGAACTGTCTCGTTTTCACCCCTTGCCCTGTTCTAAGTTAATATGAAAACTATTAATTTTTTTAAAAATTGGAAAAGATGATGCCTAAAGCATCTCTAATCAACTTGCTGGTGAGGTACATACAATTCTGCTGCAGTCCTGCACTGCAAATAAGCTACATAGAATTTTAATACAGCAATTACTGCCTACTACTTCAAGATAATGACTACCTACCAACCTGTTTAGGACATGTGTGTATGTGCATCAACAAGAGGGATAAATTGCAAGCTCCTTCAGAAGAGGAGGCAGCAGAATGAGGCTTTTACCAAATGAGCTACTTCATAAAACAGAAGTAGGGTAAAAGGAGTCACCTAGGTGAGGTAAACTTACAGCAGAGTACATCTGCTACAAGGCCCCTTTACAATGCCCCAGGGTCAGATCACGGCAGCATAACAAAAAGCAAGAAACATGACCACCCATCCACATAACAGCACCTAGTGTTAAAATAAAGCCAGTAGTCTGCAAAATATACTGGCATGGACATATCTTTGGCCAGAGAAAATGTTGATAAATGAGGAAACAATGGTAGGAAAAGTGGAAAGAGGGTTTGGAGGGCACGCCTATTACAGGGAAAAGAGGAACTTGAAAATACTGCATTTCTCCCTCCTATGCTTGTCTTTGTGACCTGTCCCTGAGCTCCTCTGCTTTTCAGGCACATCCATATAATCCTTCTGGGCCATAAAAGACTCTCACAACAAAAGGTGGTGTAGTTCCTCTGCTTATCTACCATTTCACAGCCCAGCTTTAAACCAAGTGCAGCCAGATGGAGAGTCAGAGGTCACTGGTTATTTTTAAGCTCCATCTCTCTAGGAAAAGGTTTTCCCATGGATGTTAACTATCAGTTGAAGTAATTGTGTATACTCTACTGTATGTCAAGACATTATTATGCTAGATCCAATCTATGGCAAGCTTCTCTCTAGTTACACAAAAGTAACACTATGTATTATTATGACATAGTGATGGACAAAATTTGGCAGAAAAATCTTGTTTAAGGGAGAAAAATGTAAGAAGCTGCCCTTGGATGGCAAAAAAAATACATCATTACCCATACAAGCATGGCTAGGTACAATTTGCTCATACTTGGGACTAGCAGACCCTGGGAACATAAAAGGAATCACAGAAGAAACAACTTATTGCTGCATGCCTCTGTCCCAGTCAAGCAAGGGAACAGCTACCTTTGAAAAACAGCCCAGTTTTTTAATGAGTTTCACAATAGTGCGTAGATGGATTCAGAAAAACAAGAGGTGACAGTGAAAAACATTGTAACGTATCAGAAAACTGCAGACATTTTATCCTTGTGCGTAGATGACAAGATAATAAATTTGTTGCAGTTTGTCTCCTCTATGTTTTGTTTTTCGAGTATGAACCCAACATGTGCATAAAATT